GAATCCTGCGTACATTTAAGGAGAATCCGGGAAACAGTGTGCGTCGAGTAGCTCGTGCACTCGATCTCTCGCGATGCACGGTGCACCATGTTTTACGTCGCAACGGATTGCATCCGTATCATTACCAGCGAGTGCAGGATCTCTATCCAGGAGATGAAGAACATCGCATCTACTTCTGTGAAGGTATTGTTACGCCCGGGAGTCGTTCTCGCGCACTCGCGTTCGCGTTCGCGTTCGCGTTCCGACGCTTTCGCGGAAATAAGGGGACTCGTTTAACAAAATGAATAAACTCTTTAATGAACACAACACACAAGAACGCACGTAATACAAGAAACACAGAGTAGGTCAAAGCACGTCCGTTCGCACTGACAGCTCAGCTCTCTCTCTCTCATGGCGTCCGTTTGACAGCCGACAGTCCGTCGTCCAGGAAACAATCTCCTCTCGTCGGCTCGTTCGTACATACGTGATGACGCGGACTTAGACACGGGCGTACCAGTATTATTAATTTCTTAAAATTCGCGCCCTTTTTAAACAAATAATACGATCGATGCCGTGCTGTCTACCGCAAGGTGGTGTGGAAACGATAGCTTTCTGCCTGCATTTTCTTTCACAAAAGGAAAGAAAATTACGCTGGACAACAAAATTTGACGTTATTTGTTTGGATGCGAGTTATTGAAAATTAGAATAATTAGAAAATTGTATTTTGTGTGTGCGTGTGTGTGCGTGTGCGTGTGCGTGTGCGTGTGTGTGTGTGTGTGTGTGTGTGTACGCATGATGCATGTATTCGTACATGCGTGAATAACAAGCGGCATATGATACAGAATCGTGTGCCTAAAAATAACACTGGCTAATAAAGAAAATATATCCTGTACGAAAATAGCCAATTCTTATTAATTCTGTGATGCTGATAACGATATGTCAACAAAAATTAAATCTTAGCTCCAGTTTTTTCATGGTACACCAATTACCAGCACGAAAAATTCAAAGATTTAATATGAGAAATAAATGAATGATCAAATATTTAATATCATTTTGCTGTATGACTATAAATATTAATTTGCGATTTTTGTCTGTTGAACACGAATCTGTTACATAAATTTGATTATTAGTTCACAATTTTGAGAAAAATAGCGTCTCAGAAAGGCTAAAAACTAAGATTTTTATAACTTTCGATAACAAATTTTTTTTTTTTTTCATTTAAATTTCGTTATGCGCGTGCCGCGCAAATTTATCAACTTTTTTAGCTTTAAAATGTATTTTGTTTCGTTTGATTTTTTGTTTTCGAGCTATAACAATATAGCTCTTTGTCCATGTCATAGTACATAGAAAAGACATTAAAACTATATTATGTGAAAAGTAAATACTTTTGTACTTACACATAATATTATTAATTGAAAGTACAAAAGGATACTTACTTTCCATAAAATGCAATTTTTTTCAAAATTGTGACGTGATAGCCAAAGACGTCTTAGACGACAGATTCGTATTCAACAGATAATAATAAATCGGAAATGAATATTCGTAGTTGTATTGCAAAATTATATTGAACAATGATATCACACTTATTTTTGACATTAAACCCAGATTTTTTTATGCTCGCAATTAATGTAGCATGAAAACTAGAATTAAGATTTAATTTTTATTGACATATTCGTTAGCCGTCAGCACTATAAAATTAATAAAAATTGGTTATTTTGGTATAGGACATATTTTTATCGTTAACTAGTATTATTTTTCGAGGCGTGATTTTTATATCGCACGCCGCTTATGCTGCTGTACATGCATGTACGCATGCATGCATACGCACGCATGTGCGTACACACCAAAAAAATTACGTTTTTCTAATTAAGAAATTTTATTCAGTTAAAAAAGATGGGAGAAAAAACAGCTCAGAGCGAGGATCCAGCGTCATGAACCGCTCGAACACACAGCCATTTTCGCTGTAAACAATTCCCCGCTCGCCTCGCGCTAGGCAACCGCGCTCGATGGACGGTCGCGCGCTAGTATTGGCGATGGGCCGGACTCGCCGAACGGATACTCGCTTATTCGGCGAAATTCAAAAATTAATATCTCGTTAAATATTGCAGATAGAATGGACTAAACTGAATCGAAAAGTCTTCTACCATTGTGCAAAATTCGCAATATTTAACGAGATATTAATTTTTGAATATCGCCGAATGAGCGAGTATCCGTTCGGCGAGTCCGGCCCACCGCCAATACTAGCGCGCGACCGTCCATGAGCCGCTCGACGCACAGCCATTTTTCGCTGTAAACAATTCCCCG